AAAAAAAAAAAAAAAAAAAAAAAAACCTCGAACAAAAGCCCGTAATTCGGGCGTTATAGATGTTCGCGTTACGCGCGTATCCGGCAATAATGTCGCTCGTTATTATTATCCGCACGCGTACATAACAATAATAATATACAGGTGCGCACACGACATTACATTTTCGTAATATTGTTCGCGTTTTCCAATACGCCGCCGTCACAAATATCGTTACGGATTTCGCATGCCGCGCGTACCTACCCCGGGCCGTTTGTCCGTTGCCGCCGCCGCCGCCGCCGCCCACTCCGTGGACGTTACCGCAGCCCGCGTAACGACGCCCGCGGTAACGGCGACGGGGGCTAACGTAACGGTCGGCGGTCAAACGGGTGGGAGTCCCGGGGCACGGTGTCCGCGAACGTGTTATAAAAACGGCCGGCCGCCGGAGTACGGGCACCATTGCAAGGAGTTCGCGGTCGCCATCATCTACAGCGCGAAAAAAAATAGTATAACGCCCGTCTCGTTCGCGATCGCTTTCCCGATAAAATACGAGTTTTTATTATAATTTTTTTTTTTTCCCTGTGAATTTTTCATTAGTGTATTTCCCGTCGTTTGTCGAACGGAATTCTCGTTCCAGCTGCGTTATACAGCCCGTATTTCAACGGCGAACGGAAAAACAACCGACGTACGATTTTCATTTCTTTTTTTTCTTTTTTCTTTTTTTTTTTATTAAATTTCCGCCGATCGCCGCGACACCCACCCGACAGTACAATATCCATTATACGGTTTGACGGAGACCGCATCACCAGCCGACGTTTTACACCATGGTAAGTTGTGCGCGCGCGTGCGTTATGCGCATTCCGCCGTTTGTACGGTGACCGTATGCACCGGGAGTGTTTTAGATTCCGAACGGGCCGCTGGGACCGCGGATGTATCGGTTTCACGACGATTAATATTTTTCATATTTTTTTTTTCTTCTTCTTCTTTCTTTATCCGCGGAGGTTAGGTTTTACCCGCGAACCAAACCCAACCGTCCGCGAACGACTTTTCCGCCGGAAACTTCTCGCCCCGAAAGGAATATTTCCCGCGGCGGTATACATTCGGAAGGTCGTTTTTCTCGCTTTCCCGGGGGTTTTCATAATATACGGGGAAAGACCGTAGGAAACCGGGGAAATTTACGGAATTCGTTTTTTATTCAAATCGCGCCTATACATATTACGGCCTTTTAAAAAAACTCCGCTCAGATTCGTTAACAGTACATTGCATTTCCCCTTTACCCTCTCAACTTCTCGCCTACAACAGTGGCCAGCCCGTCGTTCGGAGTATATGTCTGTGCGTTTTTTGTTATTATTATTATTATTATTATTTTTCTGTTTTCTTGCTAATCCCGTGCGCGCGTACATTGTCACGTACGTAAGTCATAGGCCCCGGTTCCATTTCGAATCTATCATAACATTCGATTTATTTTTCGAAAACAACGATTGTTTTTCCAGTTTAACGTTCAGTTACCTCGTCATGCATACGTCATTTTATTTTACGAGTACCTGTGTATAGGCGGTTGTACCCGTGATATAGGTATACCACGGTACATCAGTTACACCGTGTTACACGAACATATTATTACGTTGTTATGCGTATAGGTATTTTCGCATTAACGACATTACCAGAGTTTTGGTACACGTGAAATCTCAACTGCGCAAATAAAAACCTAATAGATACCGATGTACAATATATATAATACCTTCTTGTAACAAAAACCTGTTACAATATTATAATAATTTTCTAACCAAACTCTGTATTATATTCTGTACGCGCGAGAAAACGTTTCAATACGCACGTGCGACCTATTTGGTTTATGAAAATTCGCCATCGCTTAATAAGTAGGTACTTACTATGGGGGGTTTTTTTTTCGCATTTATATTGTTAATTAGTACCTATGATAATATAATGCGATTACCCGAGCACCGCTCTTTGGTCGAACAAACCGTTTTATAAGAATTCTACGTATTACATAGTTTTTCCCCGCCGTCCAATATCGTGGGTAATTTCGCATACACGTTTATTCCATTTACTCCTCTTTGAACAACGGATTTATATTACAATACGTTTTTCATCGAGTTATTGTGATGCGTAAACATTCGGGTGTTATAATAGGTTATAATAATTTTGTTCGAATATAATAATATTTTCTGTGGCTTTTTGAAGTGGACAGTATATTATTATATTATATTATATATTGTGTACGCAGTTAGTTATTTGAGAAGTAAATCGACAGTCTGAGGACATATTCCATACCTATTCCGCGATAAAGGGTCAACGATACGAAAATATAGTATTATATTCTATAATGTAATTAGAGAAAAATTAGTTTGAAAAAAAAAAAAAAATTTCAAAAACGGTAATAGAAATTTAATGCAAAAATTACGTTATTTTATTTTTTATGATATTTCGCGTCACAGGTATATTTTCAAGTTAATTTTTTCTTGCAATAACAAGTCATATAACGCAATAGTAAATCCTATTGGATATTTTTCGAATTGCGCGCGCCTGGGCTACAGTATAAATTACATATAGTTATAACATTAGACGGAATCGTGAACTGAAATAAATTTTCGAAAAAATGCAAACTATTCGCCCTGATCAATCCTCGATAACACACTTGTCGACTCGGAAAGTGTCAGTTTTTATCGACATCTTTTTTCAACAACCGAGCGACTCTTGAATGTAACATTACTGTTATTTTGTGTCGCCCTTATTTTCGGATGCAAAACCGCTATACCCGCATTTGATTTTATATGCATAGAAAAAAAATCCATAAATAGATAAAATTTTAGTCTAATAATATTTCGGTGTTGACATTTTTAATTTCCGTCAATCCGTTCACGAGATATTCCACTGTTAAATTTTGGTAGGGGAGAGTAGTTGAGCACTCTCTAATACAACCGGCCGTAATACGCCAATATAACTCTCTCCCCTCCCCCGCCCAAATATTAAAAAGTGAAATATCTCGTCAACGGGCTGATACGGAATTTAAAAATTTCAACACCGAAATGTATTTAAACTAAAACTCAGTGTGTTCATATTTCGGCAATATGGATTGTTATTCGAAAACGAAAATTGGATAGCGACGGTTTCATCCCCCGCAATAATTGTGTGACCTAAAAAAAATAACGGTTACGTAACACTTTAGAGTTATTTGTTTCGCGAATAATACGAACAAATTCAATACTTTCAGAGATAATGGGCGACTCGTCGGGGATTGATCACTCCGTACGATCAATATTCCGGTATTGGTAAATATGACTGATAAGTCAGGGGTGCATGGTTATGGATAATTGACGAGTGTTCTGCTGACTGTCGGTTATTCGTAACAAGAGCGAATCGGGGTGTGGAAAAACGAATTTAACTATGGTAGTCACTTCGCGACGAGCGAGAATTTAACCCCCGCCACATTCCTCCATTCACTTACGCCCCTGGATTAGGCGTGGATCGGGAGATAGGTACCTGTACATATATAATACGTAAATAGTGATGTATTATCGTCGTTTCATTGCCGTGACGTTATTCTGTGTCGTACGTGTTCGAAACGATACCTATTTTTTTTTTTTTTTTTTTTTTTTTTTTTTTTAACGACGTTAACGCATTGCTGCGGTATATTATACAGCGACCCGCTGGATTTTTCCTCGTGAATCAGTTGTTATATATTGTTTATGGCCCGGCCGCGTTTGCTGTATAATATCGTAATAATAATAATAATAATAATAATAACAATAATGCCAAAGCGAGTGGGTATATGATTCGAATTAAAAAAGTACAATACGGTTTTATGATATTGATATTGTTACTATTATTATTATATTCGACGGCGTAAGAATTATAACTACGATCTTACGTCATGGTATTATGGATCACGAGACACCGGAGTAACGCAATCGCGCAAGTCGTACGTTACAGCAGTGTGTGTATAGTTACAATATACAAGTACAACAGCGTCGAGTGAGCGGTGGGAGGGGGGCCTTCCTCCCCAATTATTGGACTCGCCGACGTTTTTTTCGGGGTTTTTTTTCTCGCCAACAACCGGGGCGAACACAATAAAAACAACGTTGCGTTTCGTAACGTCGTCGTACGGTACTGCGTTTCGTTCGAATTTTCGGTAAATTTATAGGAAAAAAAAAAACGCGTCAATATACCTATATTGTGCACGGATAAAATCGCTTTTTTTTCTCTCTCTCTCTCCCCCGCTCTCGCGTTAACCGTTTTGAACCGATTTCCAGCCGCCGACTCCGGCAACGGCCTGCCCGACGACCCGCCGCGAATTCCCCTTCCCCCGCCCCGAATCCCGCCGGGAAAAGCGAGAACAACGGCTCGCGGAAAACGCATTTTATTTATTATTTTTCTGTTCGTTTTCCCATCGCCGAAACTATTGCGCGCCTTGTTCGTCGTCACTATTATTATTATTGTTATTATGTCGCCGTACGATTCGATATTGTCGCCGTTCTCGCGGTCGTTGTCGTCGTCGCGGTCGCGTCGTCGTTATTACAAACCACGACGACCGCCGCCACGCCGTTGCGCAAATCGTAACCGCGCCGTCACCACAACACGCGCTCACGGTTCACTAAACCGTTTTTTTTTTTTTTTTCTATATTTTTTTATTCATAATACTATTATTTTGCTATTATTATCGTTATTACATTACAGCGGGTAATACACAACTGCCCGATGTAACACGCCCCGTTATCATTATCGTATTGCTACACGTTCGCGCGCGATAACGTGATCGTCATTGTTGTTATTCGGGATAAGTATTTGCCAATCGCCGCGACTCATGTCCGGCCCGCGGTCTTTGCCGCGTTGCGAAATCGCCGACAATAATAAAATGTCTCGGGCTCCGTAGGCAACAACGTATTACGATATTGTGATATTGTTACCGTTATCAACAGCGACGTAGAATACGAGTAATCCGGAAGACATTGCGTCGTTCGACGATCGGATTTTCGTCACGCGTAAAATATTTCGTTTTCGCGTGCCGTACTGTCACAATAGCATAACGCGCGGTGCGACCGGGCTTGCATACCGGGTTGGGTCCGGTTATTCGGACAAAGCGACGCGGCCGCCCCCGTCCCCTCGTCGTTTCAAAACCGTAGTGTCGCAATCGCGTGATAGTTCCCCGCGGGGAAGTGTGCGTCCCGACCGACTGCACTGCGCGGGCGTTCCGTCCGCGAAATGTTGCGCGCCCGCGGTACTGGGACCCGTATTATAGCACGCGCGATTTTCGAAAAGGGACGACGCCGAGGGGAAAGATACGGGACGTAAGCTCCCCGACCACCCCCCCGGGACGGTTTTAAATAATTCTCTCGCGCGCACTCCCGCCCCCCTACTATACAGATATTTTTGAAGTCTTCGTTGTTTTTTTTTTTTTTTTCCGCGTCACTTTTCATTTTCGATTAATTTATTCAATCGAAAACAAAATTCGAAAAAAAAAACGTCCGTTTTTCGTCGAGTTTAAACGTTGAACAATCTATAGGTATTAGCGAACAGGTGCATATTTGGCCGACGAGACGTATCAAAGCGCCACGTCCCTCCGCGTACGCCCCTCCATACCTACCTACGAAACGTCGTACGGTTTTGACATAAAGAAAATTACCGTCACTGACCTAGCCAACGGCGAAAACGTAAGCACGGCGATTTATTATAATTTTTTTTTTTTTTTTTTTTTTCAATAATAATACACCGTTCGTTTTCATTCGTCACGTGTGTACTGTGATAAGTTGACGTCACCTGACCAAACATTACGTTTCTCGTGCACGACACCTCTTTGTCTCCCCGTATATAGTACGTAACACTTAAAAAAAATACTGTTATTATTATTCGAAAACGCCACGTGGCTACCGTAAAAGTGCAAGGTGATTTTTTTTACACACTCAATTTAATCTTTATCTCGGTAAATTCAAGAGGCGCGCGCAGTTCATAAATGTCCACGTTACTTTATTAAATCGTGGGGTCGCGGCCCGGGAAATATGAATTGAAAAACTTGCCGCTAACACCGAGCGTCGACCTTTAAAATGTGTATAACAAAAAGAAGGTTTAAGGTCGACGTATGAGGTATTCAAAAGCGAAACTCATATTGTTAATAACACATGTAATATGGTGGAAAATAATTATTACCTATGCAATAAAATAATAAAGTAAAAACGAAATTATTAAAATGGTTAATACTCGTAAATAAATAATATATTTATTTACTACATTTAATTAATATGTTATTAACATTTAATTTTAGATTCTGAGCGTAGCGAGAAATGTATTTGTTTTACAATGATATTTATTTTTTTTTTTCTGTGAAAAACTTTCTGTTCAACTTTTCTACCAGAAATTTTGCTCCGAATTTCAAGCCTAGGCACTTTTTCTGGAAGTAAATCTGACTGGAGTGGTGCCTACCATAAGGATGTGACTTTTTGATTTTCTCAGAGGTTTTCATAATAAATGGGAAAACCGGGAAAAACGGGGAAATTTAAGAAGTGTATTATTTTCAAATCATAAATATTACGGCCTTTCCAAACATTTTTAACCGAACTCTGTTCAAAATCGTATTCCGTTAGCAATGACTCGCGATCGTCGCGTACAGATATACATTGAATTTGCTCTCTATCTTCCCAACTTCTCGCCTATAAGGCTACAACAGTGGTCCACCAATCGTACGAAACGTGTCCGATTTTTTTTTTTTATATAATATTTATCGATTTTTTTTTTAAAAAAGTAAAATATTACGAGATTAAACTAGAAACAATGTTTTAATTAATTTTAAACCTAACCTGAAATATAGGACCCGGTTGCTTTGGTCGGGCCCGCACGGATCAAAGGCGCAAATATATTTCATTCGATGGAATAGAATTTTACCGAGGGTGCTAAAACCACCCTTAAATTAGATAATTAACGATTGATATATTAATAAGAGGGCACTTTTATTTTTTTCAAAATGTACGACTACGTATTACACGCGGCACTGGCACACAACACAATCAGAATGTACGATACGATACGCATAATGTACATAAATCGCGTGTAAACAATAATATAGCGGGCCCCGTAGGGTGATTGCGCCGGCAGGCCCCCACCCCCCCCTCCCCCCCAGTTCTAACACCGGTGATCTCTAATCGTGTGCGTTTTATATATTATGAACGCAGAACAAGCAGACGAGCGCAGCGACGATGGTGTCTGTACTGTTGTTGGTGATCGGCGCGTTCGTGACGTCGTCGTCGGCGGGATTCAACGCGGACGACGGGTCGACGGACTATTTCCGCGGTCACGAATCAAGCGGCCACCACGGCGGCGGCGGCAGCAGCAACAAACAACTGCCGGTGATATTGATGCACAAACAAGCGCTGCAACAAGACGGCGGGTTCCAGTACGCGTTCGCGGCCGACAACGGTCTCCGGCAAGGCGAATCGATTCGGCCGGACGGCAGCCGGACCGGGGCGTACTCGTACACGGACCCGGACGGCAAAGAGATTTCCGTCAAGTACACGGCCGGCAAGGACGGGTTCCGCATAGTGCAGGGCGACCACGTGCCGAAAGCGCCGGCGTCCGTGGCCGCGCCGGCCCTCCCCGCGGCACAGGCCGTGGCGGCTTACTCTCCGCCGGTGCCCGGTCGGAGCAGCGCGTCCGGAAAGAATAGGTGAGTACCGCTTCGACGGCGATTTTACTTATTGAGCCGGATCACCCGCGCACTATATCACTTAGCGGAGCGATAATCCCGCGCGTCAATCCGCGGCAGCGCGAGACGTTGCGCAGAACACTCGGGTTATACATTGTTGACACGGACCAATGGTGACAATGCGCGGCTCGATCGTGTGCGGGGCGCGATCGGGCCGGGCACGGGGATTCCGGCCGGTTCGCAATTCGATCGGGTTCCCAAAAGCGTGTCGAACGAATCGAGAGATTGCCCACCGCCGCCGTTCGTTTTGCCGCGGGAACTGTAATAAAAATAACGCCGGCCTCCTCCGCCGCTGTCTTCGGGGCCCAGTTTCGCAACAAATTTCCGCCCGACCCCCCCCCCCGCTCACGTTCGCGCGGGTAAACAACCCGTGTTTAAACGCTTTCTTTTAGTCCGCCTTACCCTCCTCCTCCCCTCTGAAAATCGCCACTTAAAACCGTTCAGATTGTGTCACCGGCGGCGACGTTGCGCCGCCCGGCGCGATAATGTTGTCCCTTTCGCTGTGCGAACGCGGGCCGCTGCGGTGCGTCAGCGCCCCCGCTGTCTACACGTCACCGCGGTGGGACGGGTGGCGGGGTGGGGGGGTGGCGGTCAACGAATCGCTGGCGGGGACGGCGGTGAGGGGAACGTATCACGCGGCCTCGGTCAGGTCCGGGGAAAGAAACGAAACGCGGCAGAAATCGCGCGTAAAAATGCGATTTACCGGAAACAACCCTACTCGTCCCGCTCTCGACGGATCCCGCCGACGATCGGGTCAAGAAGCGTGTCGGTATTACTTACGTCCGTTTTACTTACGCTCCACTTTACCATTTGCGGTGGCGTCCGTGTGACGCGCGCGCGCAGTCGCAGTCAATATGCGATTTCGACACCGCCATCATTAACGACGGGCTGGACGCGAAAAACGACATCTATCGGCAATGTCGATTACGTTACACGTGACAATTTTAATTACGGCGGTTAATGTGCGCGCATCGTGACCCCGGCGACAATTTATTATTGACGGGCGATCCATTAAAATCAATCGTACGCGTTAACGTGACAACGCGACATTACACGCGTGTTATTATTATTATTACTATCGACGATTTTAATGATCCGCGGCGCGTTTTTCGAGTTTACCGTCCAACGATATTTCAATGCGCCGTGCGCCGCGCCCGACGTACGACACCGGCAGCGTTTCGCCCGTAGACCGCTAGACACGTGAATAAACGTGTACGGCCGCGTAGGTAACGACAACGCACGACGGCGCGGACAAACGAAAACAAATAAACAAACGGTAAGACCGGAACGTACGCCGAAAACGCCGAGAGAAAAAAAAAAAACCCTCGTTTCGCGTCCGCCTCCCGCCACTACCACCACCACCCCGACGTTTATAGAGGGATCCCGAACGGAAACTGTCCGCGTCCGGTTTTTTCTTTCCCCCCCCCCTCGCTCGTACCAAGTGATGTCGGCCGGCGGACGCGCGGTGACGTCTCGGATAATTACCGATTATTTGTTATTTTTTTTTTTTCGCCCCCTCCCCCCCGACTCGGTTAATCCGGAATATATTGCCGCGGCCGAACGGCCAACTGCGAGTCGGGACGGCAGCACGATATTACCGTGAAGACGGTCCGATATTCGCGAATCCGAACCGACGACGCGGTTGCGCTACGTCGATATTCTGGCCCGGAAACGATGCTCGGGGCCTGAAGGTAATATAACATCGCAACAGTCCCCGTGTACCCGTGCCCGATGGTCGCGTGCGCGTCCGTTCGCTTTCTTCCCCCGTTTCAATAAAAAACCGGGGCGCGCCGTAGGGAGTCGGCGAGTAATAATTCCGGACCGTTCCGGAGACAGGTAAACCCCCGGTAACTCGCGCGCCGCGCGTCCGCTATCAATAAACGCCGCGTTATACCGTGCGGTATTGTAATTTTTTTTTTGTTTTTTTTTTTTCGTCTCCCGTATAATAATAGCCAGACGTATAGACAGTCTCATTAAAAATGTTTAACAACCCAAAAGACAATAAATGAAAAACGTAAATTTTATCAAGTACGCGAGTGTGCATACGGTGTTGCGCTGCAGCCCGGAACAATAAAACGGTCGGTCGTAAAACCGAAACGAACGCGTATTTATTTGAAGAAAATAAAAAAAAAAAAACGAAAAAAAAAATGCCGTTTTATCGGTTTGTCGTATTATTATTATTATAATGATAATAATATTGTAATGTTCCGTGTACGCGCACTCGGCGGGCGTGTTTTTCCGTACGTATAGGTTCTAAACGCGCGTTTACGTAGCTCGCGATTTCACAAACGGCGGGGGCGGCGGCGGTTGGGTAAGCGGCGCGGGCGTCGGTGCGGTGTGATGGCGGTGGGGGTTGGGCGGCGGGGACCGTACGCGGAATCCGAGGGGAAAAAAAAAAAAAAAAAACTGGGAAAAACGACGAAATACAACGAATACGTTGTTATGAACGTCATTGTTATTGTCGTCATCGCGCACGGGTGTGCGTCGCACAAACGCCGCGCGCCCGCGATATTTACGTCGCGAGCGTTTCGCGCGTCGCGTATCCCCCCGCACCCTCTAAACAACTCCCATCCACATGACACACGGCGCGTTTCGCTTGTTTCGAAGAAAAAAAAAACCGTAATAACGCCGGGGTCGCGACGGACGCGAATAACGTCTCAAACGAATGCCAGGACGACGGCGACGCGTACGCGGAACAATCCGGTAGAACGATCCGGAATATCCGCCCGCCGCGTACCGTGCAGTGCGTACCGCGGCGCCTGGCCGACCGGCTGTAGACGTTTGCCAGAGTTTCCCGATGATTTCGGATATTTTTTTTACCTACTCTTACTAAACGGGTCGGCGACATTAATTCCGTGCCGCGTGTACGTTGTGCAAACGACACGGGGGCCTGAACATCTACCGAGTCCCCCCTCCCCCCCGAAGAAAAACGAAAAACCCCCTCGCTCGTCACACCGAGTCCGTCGACACGTCCGCCCAGTGTCTGATCGCGATTTAATACCGTAGAGAAATAATTGCGTTTAACGAGACGGATTCGAGTTTTTAAAACGTCGTTAAAAATACCGGCCGCCGCTGCGCGCCGACTAAGCCGCGCCTCCTCCCTCCGGTCTCCGGAGACTTAAGGGGCCAAAGGGGACCGACAGTTTTACCTCGAACGGGACGGATTTCGAAAAGACGTTTTTCGATTTTATCTGCATGCGTGGTTACCGAAAGGAATTCGAAATCGAATCACGGACGCATCGCACGAGTTTGCCAATACGGGAATCGCAAGGCCTCAGCGAGAACATTATGGGATGGAAAATGGAGTGCCGTTAAAATGCCCGTTTTCCCGTCCCGTGGCTATCCCGGGCTGTCCACGGGTTTCGCGACAATCGATATCGCCGATAACCGAATGAAATTGATAACGGCCGGTGTTCATACGTAGGTACACACACACACACACACACAAACGGCCGGGTGGGGGTTTTTCGGTGCTGTGACACCCCCTCCCCGCTACACTGCTTTTTTCGGCTCACAGTAGTGCTGCGAAATCCGTAGACACCCGGGACCCCCGTCTGCAAGACCCCCGCGTGTACGATTTACTAATATTACAATTGTATTCGCGAACGTATTGCAGGTTGTTCGGCGTGCCCGGCGGACCCGGTTCTCAGTTCAGCAGGGGCTCCGCGGACCTGAACGGCGCCTCGAAATTCTACGGGAACAGCGCGGAGTCGTACGGTTCGCCGTCGCCGTACAAATCGAAATACACGAAGCCGCAACAGCACTACAGGGTGCGCGAAGACATCAGCGCCGAGGCGCCCAGGTTCGACGACGACGGTTCGTCGTCGTTCGACGGCACCGGCGATTACAGCAGTCACAGCCCGTTCCGGGCGCCTTCGTCTCCGGCCCACGGGCCCTACGCCAGCGCCGCGGCCGACAATTCGCAGAAGGACGACGGGTCGTACGGCAGCGACGAACGGCAGCCGCACACGTTCGGCAGCGGGTACGCGTTCGAATTCGGCGGTCTGAACAACGACGGCCCGTCGACGGAATTCTAGACGAAATGCCCGATAACCGATATCATTATTGTCGTTACGTTCCGCTTTCTATATACACACACACACACACACACACACACACACATATATGTATACACTTCTAAATACGTATACGCGTACCCAATACGACGTTTTTGTGTCGGGTCCGTCCCGAAACTGTAAAAGAGCCCCCCGGGAGGGGGGAGGGGAAACCGCTTATAATTTTCTCCGTCTGCGTGTACGGTATCGTTTAGTAAATAAACAAACGGCTATTCCGTCGACGATGTTATTACCGTAATGTTTTTTTTTGTTTTTTTCGTAAACGGCACGATAAAACCGTACACCGTATTTTTCGCACCGTAGGAAATACCAATTGTGTTATGCACTTCCGCGGGAGCTTTTTTGTTTTTTTTTTTTTTTTTTATTGTATCAGTTTCGGTTTACGTTATACGCATACCGTTTATACGTATACAACATTTTAGGTACGTTGCGTTATCGCGACGATATTGTTTTCTATTTGTTTAAGTGTTATCACGCGTCACGTATAATCGTCGCGTTATTACCGTGTATGCCAATAACGATTGTACATTTTTTTTTTTTATTTTATTAAATTTTTACGGAATAAAAGAAAAAAAAAAAAAATAAATAATACTAACGGTAATATTTCAATAATACCCGTGCACACCTTCTCGCTGTCTTCGCTGTTATAACTGTAAGCGGCGGACGGCTTTGCCGACGAATCCAGTTTTTGTGCGCCCGGGACGCTGAATAATTAATACGACACAACATTATAATAATATAGTAAATAGTGGGTATCGTCACGTAAGCGCACATCATCGATTTACCGCGCACAACAAAACCGACATTAATTATTTAACAAAATGATTACCGGTGCGTATTTTTTTTTTTTTTTAAATATACTTTTCACATATCACTATGACGGGCTGCGTAAAAGCGTAACACAAAGTCGAAAACGATTGCCGTTTTCGAAAGAAGAAAACGCATCTAACAGCCCAAACAGAATCTCAGTTATACGCAGAACGACAATTCAAATCGGGATGTTTGTTTAAACGGGCTGCAAGACCGTAAAGCGGTTCAAATGTTTTAAAATGCCGTCGTTTTTACGATTCTATCTCAAACGCTTTAGAAAAAAAAAATAAAAAAAAATACTGCATTAAGCTCAAATTATTTGTTTTACCGCGAATATACATCTTATAACGAGTGTCGTGTACAATTTTCAAGCGTTTCTGTTTTCCAAACAATTTTATCCAAATAATAACTAAACATAAACAAAACTCGAAAAAGTTTAACGCCTGTAAATAACTCGAAAATTGCCGAAATATTTTTAAAACTGTATTACGTATACACAATGTAAGTACTCCGAACACATTTCAAGTGTTATTGAATTATTTCTGACCGAATTAAAATAAAAAAAAAAAATCCTAATCGAACACCGTTAATGCGTACGCATTCTCGTTTTGATCAGATTTGTCCTGATTATTCAGAAAACCACAGGGAAAATCGTAAACCTACCTCTTCAGTACAATAAACAAGATTAAAGATGACATTTGCAACTAGAAACTAGGTTCGGACCGAAAATGGCAACGAGGTTAGTTGTTGCTCCTTGACTAAACTGTCTTTATCTACAAACGCGGAACTTGATAATAAGCTCATATTAATCATTTATTGTTAACTACACGATATCAATGCTGTATACAGAATGATTCACTAAACGTGCTCGCCCCATTTTTCGGTTAAATTTTCCATGTACTGTTCAAATTTTTGGATTTTTAGAACGTTTTAAGAGTGATTATTAAAGCTGAATATTTTCGAATACTTAGATTTTTCACTGCATTTAAGGAGTATCCTGTGGCGATACTAACTTTGGTTTTTCAAATAAGAACCTATATTGAAAATTACTAATAAATCGCCGCGCGCCGTACCGCCACACAAACAGTACTCCACTACCCTTCCCTTACCTAAACTTAAAAGTTAAATATCTCGTCAACGGGTAGACGGAAATCAAACATTTTAACACTAAAATTTATTTAATGTAACACTCCGTCTATTTATGGCATTTTTATTATAGGTTCTCGTTTGAAAAACCAAATTTGGTATCACCACTGCGGGATACTCCTTAAATGTTGTAAAAAATCTAAATATACGAAAATACGTAGGTTTTAACAATACTTAAAAATTCCAAAAATCAGAATTTAAATATATACAAAATTTAATCAAAAAAAAAAAAATCTGTCTTAAGATAATGGAAAAGGACGCAGGCACTGTTATAGGTATTTAAATGTGTATACCTATAAGCCACGATAAACCATCGATAACGAAAAACGATCCTGAGCGGAGTTCAATTGATAGTGATGCTTTGTCAACAATCTATGTCATTTTATAGTAAAATAATTAACTAGACATTATATATTTTCTTTAATGATATTTGTTCAATATTGTACTGATTTTTCATTTTACATGCGTTTTTCCCAGTTTTCCTGTGTTCTCCCCAGTTTTTTACATTTGCTGGGAAAACTCTTGGGAAAAATCGAAAAATGACTACTCGACTATATTGTGTTTACGCTCTACCTTTTAGATCGTAGACATCAGGTGAGTATTCGATTCCTCTCCAAACTTTTATCCAATCAAATAGATTCCCCTCTACTTTACTTGGAGAAAAAAGTTTCCGTGTACCTCCACGTTACACTCGTTCTTTTGGTCTCTTTTTTATCCCACATTTATCTTCTAATTTTCCTCGTAATGGTTCGCCTCCTCCGTCTGCTAACACCGTAAACTGTCTATAAATTATTACGAACTCTAGTGTTTTTTCTATAATTGATAAACTATAGTCTATAATATAATATTGTTACCTATACAGTATGGCATTATAAGTTCAAAGATCGAATTATTTTACAACTTTTCAAAATTCTTCAAAAAACCGTCGTCGAAAAAACGGGAAAATGTACAAAATAACACAATTTTGTTATTTTAGATTTTGAGCAGAGCGAGAATCATTATATATTATTATAATCATTGTTTTTTTTTTCTGTAAGCAACTTTTATACCAGACATTTTGCTCCAATTATCATGTGTAGCACTTTTTCTGAAAAGAAATTTGACTGGAGTGGTGCTTCAAGGAGGTCACTCTTGGATTTTCCTAGGAGTTTCTATAATAAATGAGAAAAACCGGTAAATAAGTATGAAAAACGGAAAAATTTACGAAATGTATTATTTTAAAAATGTAAATATTACGGCCTTTCAAAACACGTATACAACCGAACTCCGCTCAAACTCAGTTTTCGTTAGTAATGATTAATCATTGCGTGTATCATATGCAACTTCTCACTTACAACAATGACCTTTATCCATTGTACGAATAAGTATGTTCATTTGTTTTTTATGTTGTTACGTTGATTTTTTTGTAATTCAGTTAGAAATAATCATAGAGATTGAAATGTTTACTGAAATTTCCACTGAATATTAATACTAACTATTTCTTTCTAAACGTGATAAAATGTTCAAATTGTTTTCGTCATTTTTGAGTAATTAAATCGTTAAAATCCAGCATTTCAAATTATGATTAACCGAACTTAGAATTGTTTGTCGTTAGCAATAATTTATCGTTCAGTACAGATATGTAAATTAAATTACCAAACAAGTCAGATGGACTTTTTTTGTACAGGGCTTCGCGATACCTGGCGTCTCCACTGTCAAGAAATGCAAATTTTGGGTGGAAATAAAAAAATAAAATCCAATATTCTAATTGTATATTAGACCAAATTTTAATATACGTTTGTTTTGTGGGGTAAGCCCGTCAATAAAAAAATAAAGTCTATTTTATTAGTCCACTAGCTAGTCTACAGAAATAGTAATTCAATCAGTGTGACAGACGTCAGCCACTGTCCTTTTAAAAGGATTTATTTTCTAAAATAATACCTAGTTTTAAAGTTAAATGAATACAGTTGTGTGTATAAAGGTATTTGTATAGGAAAAAAAAGACATGCCAGCAGAGCTCCGTCACTAGAGTCGAACTTTCCCCCAGTTGACTTGTTGCCGTTACAGCATTTGATGTTATTTGTTTTTTTTTTTTTTTTTTTATAATGCCAATCAATGTCAGTAATATACGTACATATATATAAATATATCGGGATTTTTGTTCTGTGAAATACATTATTATTTAAGATTCACTACATTGATATAGAATTTAATTTGGATTGAACGAACATCCATGGAATTTGTTTATAACTTTTAAAGGTAACATGTATACTTAATATGTTATTAGTGTTCATATGTTTAATGTATTTCAGTTCAACTAGAAAATATCTAAATAGGAAAGAATTTAAAATAAATGAAAACACTTTATTGTAAAAACAATACCGTAATAATACCGTGTAATAATTTGCAGCCGAGACTGTAAATCAAATTTAAACATAAATAAATCACATCTACTTTTGCACATTTTTTAAATTTCAATTAAAAATACATCGAATGTCTATCTATCTCCTATATACAATTTTGGACGGGCTTAGTAAAAAAAAAAAAGACGATTCGATTTTCTACTTTAAAATTGTAAAATATAATTATTTGTTAAAATCAGCCCGTGCTATTTTTAATACCTAATTCCTATATTCCTATTTATATAATCTACTAATTATTATTTTCCGATATCAGAACTTAAACCGTGTTAAAATTCATGAAATGTCGCAGGAACCTCCCCTAATAAAAACAAATTGAAAATACGCCATTGATTGTTCGGAATGATTATTTAATATTAAATGTTTGGGATTTTGAATTTGTTTTACGGACCTTCTCCCTCCCCTTCCCTGTTTTCCCACCGTCGTATAGTATATTAAAGTCACAATATGATACATCTACAATTTGTTCGCAATAATGTCTCGAAATTAAAGTTGTAGCACTGAGAGAGGACGCTGAAACCCTCTTATGGCTAGTACCCAGGTACGTTATGTTTATCTATAATTATTAAATTACAAGAATAGTTTAACTTTTGTACAATCATCACTATAGGAAAATGATGTTCTAAGATAATGAAAACGGGTGTGGTCACAGTTATAGGTAATTGAACGTATACCTGTAAGTAACGGTTAACCATTTCTAACGAAAAGACTATTCTGAGCGGAGTTCAGTTGATTGTGATACTTTGTCAATAATATATATGTTATATTATATCAAAATAATTCAATAGGCTTTATATATTTTCTTTAATAATATTTGTTTAATTTCGTTCCAAATTTTCCCATTTCTCTTTGTTTTGCCTGGTTTTTCACATTAGCTGGGAAAATTCATGGGAAAATCGAAAAATGACCTCTCGAAAGTACCTTCCCACACCGATTTCCTTTCAGAAAAATTACTTCACTAAATGCCACACAAATCGGAACAAGATCTCTGGTAGAAAAAGTTGTCCACAGGAAAAAAGGGTTGGCTTCACTCGGAATCTAAAAATTAAACCCGACTGTAGCAGCGCAAAAAAGATCGCCGTAAAAATAAATTCGATTTTTCGAATCGTTTTGTCTTTTATAATACTGTTATTTACCGTATTTATATATACAAATTGTAATTGGTATAGGTATAACGCATTATAATAAATAATATAATATATATATACATATTTTTTTTAATTTATTTTTTTTTTTTCACCATAGCTGCCAATCACA